AAAAAAAATTTTAAAGCTCTCCTTTTATGGCTTCGAGTATTTTTTGGTTCACAATCCAGCAAACTCTATGAAATAAAGATTAAAGAGGAAATAATGAAGTAGCAAAAATGAAGGAAAGAAAACGAAGAAAAAGCGAAAAGGGGGAAGGAGACTAAGGCAATATTTGTAATAGGTAAGAAATGTTTCGGTCCATTAAATCGTATACATTTCGCTGGATGGCCATGTCCAGTATTCGTTTCAACCCCGAGGTACTCCTCCCCACACCATCTCAGCTCCTCTTCTCCACGGGGTGCCACATGCTACCGAGGGACATACGAAGAATATTAAGTTGGAAGCTGAATTGTATAATATACGAAAAAAATGCTGCAACAATAACACTGCTTTTTGGGAAAAGGAAAAAAAATACGGAAGAAATGAATACCAGGACCGGAATGGACTGGAAATTGATACAGTCCCAATTCCAAGAAGCCCTGACGGGTTTCCCCGTGTGCTACGATGAAACAACAGCTAATCAAAGTACCGTAAAGAAAAAAATTCCCGCAACATAGAAAGTTTTTTCAGGTGAGAGGGGGGAGGAGCAACGATTTGTTCATAAATAAAACTAGAGTAACTCTAAGCAGCAGTCTGTTATAACTCTATTCCTAGTTTTTGCATAGTTCCAGGGTGGAAAGCGGCGGCGAATTCATCCTGTCAGTTTCTGTCAGTTTTACCTAAGCATCAGCTTCATAAATGGATAAGTCCCTCCTGACGACGGATTTTTGTAGGTAAATTTCTGCTCATATATGCCCAGCTTTTTCTGTTTTTGCTTTTTTTTTGTTAATACCTATACTATTTGAAAAACAATCACAGTAAGATAATTGTGGCTAATTTATTAACAATGGTTAAATATTCATGCACAGCATCTGAATCTATAAAACCGCAAAATGTACAGTGTGTGAATGGAGCTCGCCGCTGAAGATACGTCCCCCTCTTGCCCCTCCACTCTTCAACTTTCACCGTCCTACTCTTCCCCAACCCCGTTGCCTTCTACTTCAGGACTGCGTCCTGGATCTGCCTATCTGATTATCGTATGATTGTAGCACGAAAGTAATATGAAGAACGTGGAAAAGAAGGCAAGAATAGAACGAACTATGTAATGCAAGATGTAGAAATATTGTTGGTACAGGAAAAATAAGAACGAGAGAGTTAAGATTTTTCAGTTCCATAATAACCAGTATCAACAAAAGTTAACCATGAACGAAATGATGTGGTGCGAGGCCTATGAAAAATGGTGCAGAATTTAAAATTATAAAAGCACTCTCCAAGGCAACAATGACATTTTGTTCATTTGTTTGGTAGGGAGAAGCGGTTGCTTCAGTGATGGTAAAAGTGATGATTCGGTGGCTTGCATACATGCACCTGTCTTATCCTGTGCCTCTGATCGCTACATCATTTATGGTCGTATTCTCGGCAGGTTGCTGTTTATGGTTCATATAATTTTTCAACAGCAATGTGAAATTATTGAAAACACGCATGAAAGACTATGCTGACTGTAGCATGGTTGTAGCATACGAGTAATATTAAGAACTTAAATAGGGCAGGAATAGAACGAACTGTGTATGTACAGATGTAGAAATATAGCTGGTGTAAGAAAAATAAGTAAGAGTTAAGACGTTTCGGTCCATTAAGTCATATACGTCTTAGCTCAACATTGCGACTGGACCTCGTCAGTATGACGATCGCAGTGTTCAGAGATAGGAGGATCCTTCAAAGGGCAATATCAGGGCTAGGCCTGAAGTTACGGATTAGCTTGCAGTGCAGTTCGAAAGACATTTTCATGCCGTTCATTCCCGCATTAAGTGTCCACCAAAATGACGGGGGTTTTGTTTTGTTGTTATCGAATAAAACGCACTCGGAAAACAATCACACACACACATACACAAAAACTTTAATAAACACACACATACAAACATACACAAACATACAAACACACACACAGACGTACAAACACATACACAAAAATACGCATATAAACACCCATAAAAACACACACATACACATATACAAACATACACACACAAACTTTTACACACATACAACACATACAAATACGAACACATGCACAAAAATACACACACATACACACACACACACATGCACACACACATAAACAGACACACACACAGGCTGGGTTTCGACAATATGCATTTTGTGCAACTGCTGCAGCACAATACACATAAAAATGGTATGGATTTCATCTTTTGGGTAAGAGGTCAAAGGCAACGGTCGGGAAAGATGAAGAAAAAACATAAGTGTACGTCAGGGTGCGAATTAAAACAATTTTAAGTGTTATAGAAATTTTAAAGATACAAACAATGAATATCTCTGGCTAGGAGATTGGAGAAGGACGGAGGGCCTGGAACTGTCTGTACAGTAACATATATGCAGTCGAATTCTGCCATTTAACTGCTCGTACGAAGATGCCTAGTGCCAAATATAACATTTTTGCGAGGAAAACGCTGAAAAAAAGCATTCAAAAAGCTTGATTTTCATTGGAGCACTTTTATGAATTTCCAATGGAATATCTGGAATTTACATTTAGCTCATCCCTCAATGCATCGTTCGGGCTCGCGACACAGTGACATCCAAAACTCGTACATTTATGAACAGATGAAAAATGCTTTCGAAAATGCAATGTATGTGCCTTTTTTTCCCCGCTCTACGACTCTTTTTTACATGCACTGCGTCCAGGCATGTGATGCCCAGGGCCCGAGTATTTTAATTTTAATTTTTGTTGGTATGTTTATGAAAGATGTAAGGAACTAAAAAAGGAAAATGTGAATAAAATAAGATTAAAATCTGAATAGGAATGTAAGATGGGCATCTTTGGGTATTGAGATGGGTATCTTTGCCCGGCAACAGTACTATTCTGTTTTCATCCCTTCTAAAAATTACTACGCAACGAAGCTCCACATCTTCTTCTAGCTGAATCTGGCATTTCTCCGGATGAATTTCAGCCCTCTTAATCGAACGAACTTTCATTTTTTCCCGATAATCCCGGCGCTGCGCGATGCAGAAATGGTGCTGTCACGATTTTTAAGTTCAAAGGCGATACATCTAGCCCAAACCACATACTTCTATTCGCCCAAAAAAAAACCAGAAGGGACCTGCGCTGCGCATTTCTTTGGATAATTTTACAGAATTAGGGGTGATTTTTAGAATTAGAGATTCGGCCATTTTGTACAAAAAATGTTGAAATTCAATTTTCTAAAAAAAAAGAAACTCTTTCGTAAAAGGCGCAATCAAAAAACGATGAGCATTGGTATAAAAGATATCAAATAATAAAGTAAGAAGATTGGAATTAGGTATCATGTATAAGACATTTCACGATGCAGTCTCTGTATTTCACCCCTTAGCTGTAAACACAGACCGGTCTATGCATGCGTGTAGGAGTGGGAATCGTCAGTACAGCCTCCTACCGGCCATGTATTGAAAGGACATGTAACTAATTTGCAAGACGGATAAGTGAAAGGAAAAGAGAGGGAACTTCGTCTCTCTCCCAGTTCTAATTTTAGGAAGCTGGAACCCCCTCCCCCACTAAAGACTAGGTGTCCCATCTTTCACGATCTCTTCAAAACTGCTATTCCCTGATCTAGTCGATCCGCATACTCAAATTCACCTTATCCAACCCATTTACAAAAATTTATTCTCTTAAAAAAATAACGCAAAAATTTGGGCTGTACGATTTAACAATCAAACAAAAAAAGATACTTGCAGAAGAAATATCTTGTTAAACGAAGGAAACGAATTGGAACAACTGCGAAAGAAAGAGAAAGGGAAGAAAAAAGAAATGGAAGAAGTGGAAGAAAAGCCATTCATAGACGCGCCTCCCGAAGCCGAAAAGACAAAAACGACACAAAGCACACCCTTACCCATTCAAAAGCGCTATCAATTTATGGGTTAGTGTGCTCGAAAATAAAAAACACACAAACACTGCAGTTTTTCAAGACTTATGAGTACAAAAAAAAAAAAAATAATAATTGGCCAACGCACGGGCTGCCCCTGCGAAGATGCTTTTTTTGCATAGCTCCCT